CGGGGTTTGGCCGCGGGCGGGGGGAAGGGCTTTTGTCTTCATCGCCTCCCCGCTAGGACCGCAGCCACACCGCCGAAGTTGTTTTCTTACCTCTCTCTGCTTCCGATTCGTAGACAAAGCTCATTTCAGCAACAGCCTACCAAGAGTTACCAAAAGCGGGCTTTTTGCGGGCTGCCAGCGTGTGCCGTGCGGAAGCAGCGCTCGCCCCGGCGTGTGCGCAGCGCGAAGCCGCGGGGAGCGTCTCTGCTACCTTACGACCCGTGGCGTCCGCGGCTTCGGCCTAAGCCCCGCAGGACGCTGTAGGAAGTTTGTGCGTGTGTATGCATAGATATGAAAATAAACAGTGACTTGGAAGGCTCTGTCAAAACGAGATGTATTGTAAACTCAAGTGAATTTAAATAGCAAATAAAAATTTACAACGCCTGCAGGACTCTAGCTTTCAAACAACAAAGGAAATGGGTTATTACAAGTATATCAGCCAAAGAGCAGCCTTTTAAACAAACAAACAGGAATAAACAAAACCCTTCTTTCTCTCCTTTTTTAACAGGATGGTACTGGGGCAACATGACTGTTGCTGAAGCCAAAGAGAGATTACAGGATGCCCCTGAAGGGACCTTCTTGGTTAGGGATAGTTCACATTCAGAGTATCTACTGACTATTTCAGTAAAAACATCAGCGGGACCGACCAACCTACGTATAGAATATCAAGATGGCAAGTTTAGACTGGACTCTATCACTTGTGTCAGATCTAGACTTAAACAGTTCAACAGTGTTGTGCATTTGATTGAGTACTATGTTCTTATGTGCAAGGACAGAACCGAAACACCTTCAAATGGAACAGTTCATCTTTATCTGAACAAACCTCTCTATACGTCTGCTCCATCTCTGCAACACCGATGCAGAATAACTATAAACAAATGTACAAATCAGATCTGGGAGCTGCCATTACCAACAAGACTAAAAGAGTACTTGAAAGAGTACCAATACCAGGTATAACTATCTTTTCTAAATGCCTCTAATGTGGAGTAACTTTTAAATGCAATTCTTAAAATCAGCCAAAGAACTGAGTAACCAGTTGTACAACTCAGCATGGAATTCACTATCAAAACAGTTACAGTTCTGGGGGAAAGGTTTTTATTTCAGATGCCACAAAGGGAGACTTTATGTAGAATAATCCCAGCTTGCATCCTCGGGGGTTTGACAAGGTAGCATGCTATTGCGAGGAGAGAGAAGCCAGGAATCTCTCCAGATTGCGTTGCTTTGTCAACGGCATAAAATACTGCACTAACCATCAAATGCTAACTGAAACAGTGGGACTGGGCGAGACTGCAGAAGTGGTCAGAGATGTATGAGAGTGCATAAGTACTCAGTTGTCTGATTACAAGATTAATTTGGTGCTGGTGTTCATATAATTGTGAAAGTTTAACTGGATCACACTGTGATAATCTTGCCAAAGTTATGCAACTAATCAAATCCAGTCAAAAAAGTGATAATCTATTCAGTTTTTATTGAACTATAATTCTTGTGCTTTTCTGCAGGCAAAGGAGTACTGTAAATAATCAGTTTAAAACATTGTTTTTCAAAGTTCTCTAAAAGCTGACCTTAAGGAGAAATGCCACATCTTTCATAGGAACCCAGTATGTGCTGATTATACCAGATTGGTATCCCAGAATCTTTGTTAACATGTTAACATCTTCCCAGTGGTGATATATCCATGTTATTATTATGAAGCCTCTTTTGGTCGAGGCTTTAGGACTGTACGCTGCAGACTTGCAGTTGTGCAGTTCCAATGTCAAAACATGGATATCAGCAGTTATAGCTGTCTTCTACAGTGTAGAATGTTTTGTTCAGCTTGTTTCCCAAAATGTGGGGAAATATGGATTTATTTTTTTTTTGAGGGGGTTGGGTTTTTTTTTCTTTTTTTTTTTCTTCTAGTTCACCATTGTAGCTATCAGACTATTACTCAATAAAATAAATCAAATTGCACAATGATCTCCCAATCTTTGTATGTATGGATTTGCTGCTATTGAGGAAACAGTGATCTTATGAATCTATATGATTTCCCAGCTAAGACTCAAATAAATGCACACGTATCAGTGAGGATGAATACCCCTGCTTTGCCTTTGTGCTGCTACTCAAAGGTATAGCTGGATTAAACTCAGATTAGTGGTTTAGAGGCTGTCTGCTGAATTCACATAGTTAGGTATTAGCATAGGACATTGCTTTTTGTGTTACAGCAGTCCTCCAAATGGGAAGAAGGGACCCAATACTTCTTGGCCCTCAATACTCATTTCTCAGTCTAAATGTAAAGTATTTAATAGAATAAACATCCAGTATGAGAGTAATAGGAGAGCAGTAAAGAGAGAAACAAGGACATAGATTCATCCTCAGTCAACAATTTCATAGCTTTAACTCTTTCC